CTGTCCTCTTATTGATCATAGATGACGTCTTAAAATGTTCAAAACTTTACAGTGAAACCACTCGCTGCGCTCGTGGTTCCACTTTAGTTTTGAACATTTTAAGACGTCATCTATGATCAATAAGAGGACAGACAATGGAAATCTATGTGCGATTTGTTAATTTGAAAATTTGTTGATATATCTACAGTGTATGTAGAAAAACGTGCAGACAGAATTTGGGAAAATTTCATATTTCTGTGACCTCTTGCTTATTGTAGTCATATCATCCATAGTGCATTTGAATATTTGTTGATATATCTACAGTGTATGTACAACGTCCATTGGAGGAAAGGCAGGAGGGAATTTGGTTGTTGAATATTTCAAGTACAAACTACAAGTATCAAGAAATCCTTATTTCCTGCTATAACAATGGCAATAACATTAAATATTCGCCAAAACATAATCAAAAGGATAACAAATTAATGTTGCATTATTTTGGAATCAACATTAGTATTTATATTCTACATATGCGTGACTTTATCAATATAATATATTGAGTCCTTGTATATATTTTTTCCGCAATCGCGATCCGAATTCTTGAGTGACAAAAAATTATGTATATTCTTGTAGAAAGAAATAAAAATGCGAATTTCATTTATTTATTTATTCTTATCAAATCAAAGATTTTTCCTTTACATGTACAATAAGCGAAGTGAACAGTGAAAGTCACTTAAAATCGCATTTTGGCTTCGTTATCATTTTTCTCGTTACAACGGTGTAAATTAAAGTTGTTTCAACCATTTAATAGTCCAGAATCAAAGTGTCTTAGCCTCAGTTATATTTTATCGGTGAACAGTTAGCAAGGAAGAAAACGAACAAAGGAAAACATGGTCGAAAACTGAAAGTCACTTTATGAGCTAAGACAACGTTGAAGCAAAACACTGGAATTTTGTCGCTTCATTCTTGGGAATTCTGTGCCTTACTTTACGTTAATTCTCGATACATAGCATAATATATATAGCTAGAATCAGGATATATAGGAAAAATAAAAATCTTAAAGGTAAAATACGATAGATGCGAACATAAGGCAAAATGTAGTGAAAAATTCTTCTAGGGACGTACACACACACTACACGTGCATTAACATTCGACAACCAAAAAACCCTCAAAGCATCAACATTTTTCATCAAAAATACCCCTACGCTGTAGTTCAGATAGTGCTGTAACTCACCCATCACCAACAACGACACATTTAATGGCCTGCATTTTACCAGATGCGTTGAAATTTCGAGAAAATTTTGAACTTCAAAAAACTTTTGCCACTTCTCGCCAACGCCTGACTTGACTTCACCACCGCAAGGCATACTGGGATATTTACAATAACACCACCAGGGGAGGGGCTGGGATTGTTTTGGTTCAATACACAGGAAGCCCAAATGACTATACATCAGTTTCCAATGGCTGTCTATAGCTAGCTTTTTTTCTCCCTAAGAAAGTTAAACTACGAATTTTTGAGGTATCTGAAGTTGAACGAGTTTTATTTAAGGCAAGGTAAATGAAGAGAAAAATATTTGGTAGAGAAATTTAAATGAAGAGTTACTGACCACTGTTGGACAAGATGGCGGCAACGTCAAACAGTTTCTGATCCGATCCGAAACTCAAACACCCTTGGGTTTACGAGCTTCTTGTAAATGGCTGGCTTAAATGAAGAGGTCTTAGACATGGCTCGAGGTTTAATTGAATCTAGAGGTCAGTAATGGCTTTTTCATAACGAAAAAGTACTGTGTGCCAAGCATCAGACCGTTGSCCTAGTAACTATGAATTGTATAGCTGGATTTGTCACCCTTTTTGTGAGAAAATGTTTAGCCCCGAACATAGTTAATTGACTATGCCCCGAAGTATGAAAAATAAGCTTGTATAGAGTGAGTTGTCCTCAAGTTACAGTAGTTGAAAAGAGTTTGTATATATAGTAGTTGTGAAAAATATCAATCAGCAGTATTTTATAATTTGGAAGTCGTCCCCTCCCTGTATTTTTGAGCATAGTTTTTATCGATGCATTTTAATGTGGGGACACACTAACCGGGACCTCTTGAATAAAACTGACCAATCAGATAACGGTAAACTAGACAAAAATTGAACTGATAACAGTGCTAGCCAATCAGATTATCACGTTATCACGCTCTTATTATGTTGATATGTTGATAAGAATATTGAACTAAATGTTGCAATATGATTGGTAAATGTGTGTCCCCATAGTGGTCCCAGTTGAAGTATCTGCACAATAACAGTCATTTTTCTAACTCAGTTGTTGTAAAGAGACCTCCATCAGCTGCGCAGCGTAGAGCATACCATGCCACACCCAGAGGACCCCCCATAATACCGAAAGAAAAGAGAGCAAGACCGTCAAGCGCCAAGGCAAGGTTAAGTACTGAACATGATGTTAAGAATACAACAGCAATAGCGGTCCCACCTCGGCCACCTTGGAGACCTTTCACCCGCGAATCCTCTCTCAGTAAGTTGGACACGACAGGATTTCTAGACACACAACAACCTGAGGAAGTGGGAGTGAAAATTAAAAGGGAAGAGGAAGAAACGAAAAATGAAAAGAAGAAAATTCCAAGCATTTATCAAAGCAGGTTAGTACTGGTATGCATATTATTTAAATTTAAGATATTTTCCTGTTTTTAATTCAAGAAGAAATGACTTCTAAATCATAAGAGTTAATTTAATTTCTTATTCCAAGGAATCTACCAGAGGGTTTATCTGCATTGTCAGAATGGTTGACAGAAAAAGTTCCTCCTGACTGGTCAGTCAATATTACATTTCCTGTATCAGCTCTGGCATCATTTTCTTGAGTATTATTTGTTTCTTTACAGTTACCATAGAGAAGACACAGTGTGACAAAAAAATAAGGAATTTTATTTCCAAGAAACAATTACATGTCATATGAAATAGGAAAACTTATTAAGATTTATTTATCTTTGTCACTTATTTTGTTAACCAGGGCTCAAGGATATTCGCCGGAATCTAGTTTTGTATTCCTTCCATGCCTACAGTCAATGAATGAGCAAGATCTTCCTTGTGTACCTGTGGTACAGGAACCTGATGAAGAGCTGTCCTACACACCAGTACCACAAATACAGGTAAACATTAAACTAAAACCAAATACTGCTGTCAAAATATATTTACCAGATGGCAAGATCTATATCCTAAAGAGATTGCCTGCATGATGATGATTGAAGATGATGATTATGATAATTCATGATACAGTAGTAATAATGCAAATGATTAGTGATAATGACAATGATTGGTGATGATGACAATGACTGATGATAATGAACAATGATGGAAGTGATGCAGATATTGATGATGATCAAAATTGGTGATCATGATAACAATGATTGGTGATGATGACTCTTGATAGTGGGAGTATTATGCAGATGTATTGCCGAGGATGATTATTGATAATTGATGATCGTGGTGATTATGATACAATGATTGATGATGACAATGATTGATGAGGGTGACACTGATTAGTGATGGTGTGAGAGAAGTAGATGCTGATGACATGATTGATGATGAGCGATGCTGATGAGCCCCATACACCTCACTTCATAAATTACTGTATTTGTAAATCATTGCAATGTGGATTATTTTTTGCTATGACACAGATATATAAACCACCAAAGCCTAGACTGAAGTTCAGCCAGGTAAGAATTGAAAGTAATACAATGAATTTTTTTTTTTTTCCAGTCATAAATATTTAAGACACTGTTTCCATTAATCATTACAACACGGTAATATTTTGAAAATTGTTCTTAGGATTCTGCAGCTGGATTAAAACAAAATTCAAAGTCCAGTCTCAGGCATTATTTATTTAACACTGAAAAGTCCATTTCACAGTTCCCTGTACCATCTTGAAAGGTAGTTGTGCCTTTGCATTGAAGCGAGACGATCGATGAGCTTGGAATGATAAAGACCTTTTTTTAACACCTTGGATGTGTCTCACATGTCTCTATCATTGCAAGCTCACCGTTTGTCTCACTTTGATGCAAAGGCATGGCTATCTTTGAAGATGGAGCAGGCAACTGTGAAATGGACAATTGAAACTTAAACACAGTCTGTGTATATGATTTTGTTACTGTATTATAATGTTTCAGACTTTAGTGCTTCATAGGACAATATTATTTATTTAATGGGAGCTTATGAATGAGCTGTCATTCAACTGTGAATGGTAGATTGAAGTTAAAAAATTATCAAGATTATGGATTCTTAATTTTAATTTCAGCAGTGGAGATGATGAAACAGTGAGGCCAAAACACCTGAGAATGTACAACAAAGATGGCGAACTGATCCATGAGTAAGTACCACACTACCCATAATTTCATACTTCGGCAACTCCAGTCAAGCTTACAAATTAGGCTGCATTCATAATGTATGGCAGAGGGGGGGCAGGTGAAAATTTGAAATGTCCAGAATAATTCTTAACMCCCCCCCCCCCCAAAGTCATGCAAAAAAATATGATCCCCCCTAAGCAAGGCTTAGCTTCTTCCAAAAATTGTGCATCCCCCCTTTTTTCTGATAAATATTTGCCCATCCAACCCCTTTTTCCTACCAAAATTTTCCCGACCCCCCTTAATTTCACCTGCCTCCCCTCTGCCATACATCATGATTGCAGCCTTATAACCCCTTCTGTGATCTCCATCAGTATCATTGTCAATCACTATTTATATTCTTTTGGCATGGTAAAGGCTTTACCATTGGTGTTTGCAAGTGACATTTTTTTTGGTTGCAGTATCTACCGAGGCAAAAGAACAGAAGAAATAATAAGACAAGAGATACGAGACTTGGAAAGATTGCTTCAAGGTAAGAAATCATTCTTGGAAAAAAACTTTCACTTGATAAGTATGAAAACATGTGAGTCCTTATCTGTGGATGTCCTTTTCAGTCTCAATGCAATTTTTAAGAAGTTTTTTGAGTTGGTCTCAAAATGGTTCTTCTCATCTTTTCCAGGAATTGGCAACCCATATGGATCATCAATCGTTGTTCGTTACCAGCATGACATCAATCATCTCCAAGAAATGGTGAAATCTACACTTGAAGGTTATACTTTGTGAGTATAATATAACTATTTTTTGTTGACGGTTCTTCTCTCTGTTGATAACAAATGTTCTGAGATCTCTGTTCTATCAGTTAGGCAACCCATGAAGTATATTCTAAAAATTACATTGAAGTATAATTGAAGACTTTGTCTTTTTTTTAACAGCCCTGATGATGAACGATGTGTCACCCCTGTGGCTGCTACTCTTCAGGTTTGAGTGAAACTTTGCTTACGCTTCACCTCATTCACATAGAATGAACAGTTGTGCATGAGAAGACACATTAATATGGATACAACTCAAACAAAGAAGTTTGTTCTCAAGAGAATGACATGTGGTCTGAAATGGGAAAACATTAAGCAGAAGCAAATAGGTCTATATTAGAAAATGTTGTGCTATTTACAGTGTATGAATAGTTGAGATATCTACACATGCTACATTGAAAATTTAGCGTAGCCAATGGCAAGACATACTCCTTGACAAGATTCAAGTGATTGATTAGTGCAGAGTGTCAAAATTCAGCTCAATTTTGACGACATAACAGTGTTTCCAATTCTCAGGAGATTGAAATTCTTTTGTTTTATCCTCCAAATTAAGTTGCTTTGACGTCACATACAATGGGTCTATACCATAATAAAACTTGTGTATCTATCTACAGGAAGATCTTGTAAACTATCCTGCCAAACATGATGAAATCATGGCTTCAATTTGCAAGAGAAGAGATGAATGTATTGAAGAACTGGCTGTGATAGAAAGGAAAATCCTCCATGGGAAGAGTTAGATGCATGTAAATTAATGTATAAATGTATGAAGGATGGTTACAGCTGTATTTTCAGGTTTAAGAATAACGACTGCTCAATGACCAGACAGGTTTTGCAAGACATGATCTAGCCACATTGTAATGATCACCATGTGACTATCTCAAAATGTGGTACAGTATTTGGGCAGAAAAGTGTCAATTTTGACTAGACATTGTCAGTTTACTGGCCATTATTTAAAGCCCTGATTTCATATGAGGAAGTATGGATATTACTATGGAGCTACACATGCTTCAAAATAATAATGTAAAAATACAATTTTGTTTATATATTGGCTTCCTAGTCTTAAGAATTTTGATACCATCAGGAAGTACTGATGTACATGTATAATTCTATTTATAATATCTTTGGGAAAATGTAAAAAATAAATAAATGAAAAAGACATTTTTGTTTAGACAAACTTGTTGGTTGCATTGACATGGATTTTTTAGGACTGCAAATTGGCATGCCATGTGGCGCACTCCAGTGCTGTGGTACAGAATTGCCGACAAGCTTTGAACTAATGACACTGCGCAAGATTACCACTCATCAAATCACGATCCTCTGACCGCTGTCACAGTCACAGCATGGTCATACCACAAGTTTTGTACAGAAATTACTTTAAAGTCTTCTCAACTTCTTCCTACCGTATCCCCTGACTCAACTTCAACAATGTGCCCAGAGGCTGGTTTATAACTGTCTGCATTTTTGACCCTTTCTTGGAGAATTCCTAACAATTGCAGCAACCTCTCACTATCGTAAACCCTTCCATGACGCAAGTTCAAAAGATATACAAAGTCATTGCCATACAATTCAACCCTGTGAAACAAATTCTTGGGATCAAAATCTCTGTCACTCAAAGGAATGAAGTTTGATATGGGAACAACTAAGTTTCTTCGGTTACCCCAGAATGTCAGAGAAGAAATCGTGATCTCTTCCTTGATTGGATCAAAAGACAGTTCTCCAATGACTCTACGGAAGAAATAACTGAGAGCAAATAGTCCAGCAGTAGTTGCAGTAGCAGCAAAAATACTAGTGACAAGAACTGATCCAGATATGATTCCTTGATTGAACCAGTATGACATTGGTCCTGTTAAACCACCGACAATAAATACGTGTACAATCTTAACCCGTGATATAAAACGTAGTTGTTTGATCCATTTGTATCTGTAGATGATTTCTTTAGAGTCTTGTATTTTCTTTAGATTTGTAGAGTAATTGTTAGTCAAAAAATGGCCATGTTTTGCGCTCGTGAAGCCTTGCAAGGCAGGAACAAGTCCACAATTTAGAGGTATATCAAATCTAGTTCCTTTGGACGAAATCCCTCGAGAAGCTCTTAGCAGAAAAGTAGATGATCTAAAGGCACAATACATCGTTCAAAAAGATTCCTCCATGCGAATTAATGGAGATTTTTAAGTATTTTAGAAGCCCCGAATATATCCAACTCCAAAATCTGTTTTTACATTTGTTTACTGCAAACCTAACGTACAGCGGTGTAAAGCACAGGTAACCCATCTGTATGAGACCAGGAACCCCAAATTTATTTCTTTAGAATACACAACAAAATTACTCGACTCTGATTGGTCGAGAGGAGTACCGAATTAAGTCGCTATGGCAACACGGCCAAAACAATGTCAAAACAATTATTTTCTGTCATTTTGTACTTAAAAAACATAAATAAAATTTTAAAGCCGTAAGAACTAATATTTTTTATGCATTTCAGTTGCGCGATGGACTGAAAATCGGTCGCTTCGCATTTTTTACTGAAATTTTGTTGAGTGAATTATAAACAAAAAATCGCACGAYCTTCTCGTACAATTTGGAATTAATAGACACTCGTAATGTTATGAAAGTTCTTTAATTGCACTCGAGATCGTGCGATTTCCTATACAAAGCGCAGTTGACGGCTTTGACGAAGACTAATATTTTCTGGAGGATTTCATGGGCAAGGGCATCAAATTTGCGTACGGTCGTCCCTGCGTCCCTTTTATTACTCGTATTGGAATTTCCGTTGAATTGCGATACGAGTACTAATTTTTTTTGGGGGGGGGAGGGGGTATAAAGGTTTTGTCATCAATGGTAAAATCATACTTTCAATATCAATAGCCTCAAGCATAATAAAAAAGAGCAAGTTTAATAACGTTGCTTAATTCATTAGGACCAAGAGCCCTCACACTATACAAGTTTATAAAAAAAACCATGCGATATTCATGAAGCAAGCGTTTAACGCTATACACACAGGGTTACAATACTCAAACATTAACTTATTAGTAGGAATAAATATCAGTATGATCTGCATTTTACATAATTTATATGGTTTGTTGGGTGTAAAGTATTTTATAGGTTACAGAAGTAATCCCAAACCAACAAAACAATATTCAATAATATAAATAATTTTGACCATTCACAAAACGATGGTCATCATTTCACACTAAATTTTTCAGCGCAAATGAAACTGTTCAACAGTTGTATTTTACGTTAATTTGTTAGAAAAAATCTCGTTAGTAAACTACTGATGAAATCCAAACAAAAATTGTCTTTAGGGTTAGAAAAATTGGAGGATTGTTAATCATCTAGTTGGCAGAGGAGAGCCACACCCCTGTTGACCCAGTGTGCCACAGGCTTGTCGGAGGGTAATTCAACAAACATGACGAAGTTTGTCGAGTGTCCTGTTGTGGAGAGAGTTCCTCGTCGAGCACTGGTCTTGTACACTGGACTAGGGTAGCTGGCTTTGGGTTGGAATTTGGATCTTTCTTTAGGCACGATCCATAACTGGGATAGAGTCAAGGTTAAACGTGCTTGAAGATTTGTTAATATCTGCACCACACAACATTCACCATCGTTATCGACATTAATCATTAATTAATCTTCATTAATTATTAGCATATGTCATACATCACCATCTTTAATTATTATTAATAATCGTAGTCAATATCATGAATCATCTTATCCGGCATCATCTCATTATCATCTGTATCAATATCACCATCAATCAACGTCAGCTCACCATCATTATTATTATCATTACATTAGCATCATTGTCATCACTATCCTCAATCATCAATAACCGCGACCATGATCAACACTATCATCTTCAATCGTCATCCTCATCATATAATTTTCATAAATTTCTTTTGCATACAACAAGAGAAAATAATATTGCTGGTTTGTAAAGGATACGACAGGTAGTGTATCAAAAAGAACTTTAGGTAGTGATTCACCAACCACCATCTTCTCTCGGTCCCATCGAGCTCCCTCCAGGAAAAGTCCCTGTCACACAACGACAATCATTAGGTATCATCCCTTTTAAAGTTTCTTTTCAAGTTAAGTTTGTAGCTATGATGACTTACTGTGACGTAAACCCCGTCTTCGGGTTTTTCTTTCATCTCTTTTTCTTCTTTTGTTACCTCGAATTCATACCCAACATGATCAATTGGTATGGTGTACTTTCGCGCAAAATTCTGACGGGCACCTGTCAATCAAATAATCATCGGCCAATAAAAAATCATGTTGTCATAAGTATGGGCCCAATCCACTTAGGTATATTATTTTCCCATTTCAGACCACGTGTCATTCTCTCAAGAATAATATTCTTTGTTTGATTTGTGTCCATATTCATATGTCTTCTCATGCACAACTGTTAAAAAAAGAAATAATACTCAAGGGAATAACACGTCTGAAACAGGAAAACAGTGGATTAGAGTGAAGTCATTAATTCCATTATTTTCTTTTGTGTCTATTTGACTATTACACGTTGACTGACATCTGCAGTAGGGATAAGCAAGTGGTTAATGAATAGCGCATTTGTTGTACCTGTAAGAAAAGACTGGGTGAAGTAGAACCCTGAGATCCAGAACACGTTTGGAGGACCTCGATCTATCCAATCCTGGAAGAACTTGAGTCTGGAATACAATATGCTCTTCATTAACACATCTTTCATCATCATATATTATCAATATCGTCATTTGTTAGCGTCCTCCGTTATCATCAGCTCATTACTCTTTTGTTGATTCGTTTAAATGAGTGATGAAAATTGTGATGATGATATTGTTGAAAAAAAGCATATTCAACATTATCATCATCATAATTCATCACCATCATCTTTAGCAACAACACTTGGCCACATCATCGTCATCGTGATGGTCTCCACCACTACCACCGAGGCCATCATTCACCATTCGTTGTTATCATTTCAGCACCAGCAGCAACTAACATCATCATCACCGTTATCGTCTCCTCCACTACAATCCATGCATCATCATCGTCATCGTTGTCATCATTTTCAG